TTATTATTACTACTACTACTACTACTACTACTACTACTACTACTACTACTACTACTACTACTACTACTACTACTACACCCCACTTTTTTTCTCTCTTCGAAGGACCCAAAGTGGTTTGCAGTGGTGTTCTCCATTCTTCCACTTCATCCTCACAACAACAACCCCGTAAAGTAGCTTAAACTGAGAGGGACTAACTGGCAACAACCCACGAGAACCACATGTAAGAACATAACAAGAGCCCTGCTGGATCAGACCGGTGGTCCACCCAGTCCAGCATCTCGTCTCACAGAGTGGCCAACCAGTTCCTCTAGATGGCCAACAACAGGGCCCCTAGAGGCCGAGGCCTTCCCCTGACGTTGCCTTCTGGCTCTGGGATTCAGAGGCTTAGTGCCTCTGAATGTGAAGGTCCCCCTGAGTTGCCATGGCTAGTAGCCACTGATAGACACCATCCTCCATGAATCTATCTAATCCCCTTTCAAAGCTGTTTATTCCTGTGGCCTCCATCCTCTGGCAGCGAATTCCACATTTTAATCAGCCTCTGTGTAGACTACTATTTCCTTTTGTCTGTCCTGAATCTACTGCCCATCAGCTTCATTGGATGCCCTCAAGTCTTTTGGGAGAGGGAGAAAAAGTTATCTTTACCAACTCTCTTCAGCCCCTGCATAATTTTATAAACCTCTATCATGTACCACCCTTTGCTGTCTCTTTTTTAAATGGAGAAGTTCCAGACTCTTCAGCCTTTCCTCATCGTCTTGGTTGCCCTCCCTCTGTACTTCTCCCAGCTCTGCAGTGTCCTTTTGGAGATACGGTGACCAGAACTGTACACAGGATTCCAAAGGAGGCCGCACCACATAAGTTTCTCCACCAGAGCAAATAGTGGCTCCCTGAGGCTGTTTTAGGTTGGGACTCAGGCTAAAGAGTCCCTAAACTGCACTTTATTCTTATCGCCATCGAGTGAATGTTTTATATTGACTTGTCTATGTTTTCGAATGATGTATTTTATTCTGTCACTGTAAAATGTATACTGCTTATCAGTTTTTGGAAGCCGCCCTGAGCCCGCCTGGCAGGGAGGGCGGGGTAAAAGTGAAATAAATAAATAATAAATAAATAAATAAAGCGTCCCTCTCCTTGTGGGCCACATTCCCCTTTCTGCAATGGGCCTGTTTGTGCCTGGGAATGAAGCTCTCAGCTAGGACGGACTGGACTCAAAGCCCCATGACTGCCATGTGTCTGCCACACGAACTTTGTAATGTGTGAATCCGGCCTTGAGTGAAAACACAGAGGGACCGTGCTTCTTTCCGGGTGGAAAGCTCCTTCACTTGCAAGAGTGGATGACGCATTCACTTCCCCTCAGCCCCACCCCAAAAGGCCTCATTTAGCAGAAGTTTGGAAAACAGTGAATTAAAAGAAAAGGACATCTCATTTATTGGTATTTCCTTCCTCTTCATCTCTCCCACCACCTAATGCTAACCCTAGTTTCCCACTCTCTTGGGCCTTTCCTTGCTGCCCCAACCCCTGTACCTGTTGTAGCTGCTCCAGTAGAGCTGAATATTAGGCAGGTTGGTCGCATGGCTCAGGATGTCCCGCTGCTGTTGCACCATCTCAGTGTTCTTGGAAAGTTCCTCCTGGGGGAGAGCAGGGAGAGTAGCCATGACTTCCATATACTCAACACACCTACATGCAGCCTTGCTTTCTACAGTCACCAGCTTTTCAACCAGCCTCTCTGCTCCTTTGCCTTTAACACCAGCTCCACGAGCAACTCTGCACCCTGGCCTAGATGACTGAGACTCGTCCAGTCTTGTCAGATTCTGGAAGCTAAGCTGGTCGGCCCTGGTTGGTATTTGAATGGGAGACCGCCAGAGAATACCAGGGTCACCGCACAGAGGCAGGGAATGGCAAACCGCCTCTCTGAGCATCTCTTGCCTTGAAAACCCTACTGGGTTGCCGTACATCAGCTACGACTCGACAGTCATTTCCACCACTGCAAGAGGATAGCAGGTGACAACACTTCTTTTCCAGCTATGCAAAAACCTTGCCCGCTGATCTCTGCAGATTAAGCTGGTGTTAAAAGATGTGGGTTTTTTCATTTAGCAATCCAACGGTAATCTAAATTTCGCAAAAGTTCAGAACACACAAAACCAACTCGAATGTAAAATCCAAATAGATGGATTTTTTTTTTTGAGACGTGGCACTGGACAACAAACCCAACTGTTCCTTGTTTAGAGAAAGTAATCTGCATCCATTTGTTTCAGCTCCGCAAAATAGGCAGCGCTCCAGCCCTGGAGCCGAGCTGTTGATTACTGAGATAAGCGAAGCTGACGCTGTGATGGGTCTCTTCCTCCACTCACCCTGCGTTCTCCAGTCATGACTCGAACATCCCTGCTTGCTCATACCGGCAGGGCTGAAAAATGTATGTGACTCACTCGCTAAACTTGGCAGTTGACTGGGCACTGCTGTGGCCGCCACCCCCCCCCCCCAAAGTGCCTCATTCCTTCACTCAAGCAAAGGACTTCAAGGAATTAAAAAGAAGCCTTTTCTTGTCAGGTGGCCTTGTTGTGAGGTAAGATGAGGTGGTCTCCAGGCAGTGGATTTTGGACCCCATTCAGATGGGAGACAGAGCCATCATGGGCATAAAATGCTTGGGAATTCCATCCCTTTGAAACAAATAGTTCTACCTCATATCTGTGGAGTGTGAACAGAAGAATACAACAGACTTCCAGCCCTTTTTGTGGTGGAATCAGACACATATGTGCAATACAGGCTTACGTTTTTATCCTGCTTTGCAGACCAAAAACCATCAGGTACCAGTAATAGTTTGAACCTATTCTTGTATGAATCATCCCTTCAGAAATTAAGCTAAAGTGTACATAACAGCATTGAGAAGAAGAAGAGAGGAAGAGATTGGATTTATACCCTGTCCTTCACTACCCGAAGGAGTCTCAGCGTGGTTTACAATTCCCCTTCCCACAACAGACACCCTGTGAGGTAGGTGGGCTGAGAGAGCTCTTTCAAGAACTGCTCTTGACAGAACAGCTCTGAGAGAGCCATGACTGGCCCAGGTCACGCAAGCAGCTGCATGTAGAGGAGTGGGGACTCAAACCTGGTTCTCCCAGAGTACAGTCCATGCTTCAAAGCACTACACCAAACCACTACACCAAACTGGCTCAAATCCTTTCACAATGCTCTTGCCTTCCCATCTCCAGTTAAAGCTGCATCTTTGGAAACAGACTGTAAACTCCTTACGGCAGAGGACTGCTTCTAGGCTTATAGTATGATCTGTTATTTTAAGTATAACAGTGCTTATTGTTCTCTCCCTTGCCTAATAATTCTAACAAACATAACTACCAACATTAGACAGAATTAAAGGTGACAAAACTGTGAAGTGGGAAAAAAATACATGTTTGACTAGAAATTTACTAAATAGGGCACCAGCTGTTTGACAAAGCTGAACACAGCTCCTTTTGTTACTCGTCAATCACAGGAAAAAAGGTACAAGGTGCAAGGTGAAAGGTGCAAGGCACAAACTTGTCTACCAGCCTTTATAAAAAACCTACTGAGGCCCCGGCCACATGTGCCGGAAAACAGGGGGGGGGGGAATGGCCATTATGCGATCAGACACGATGGTAGCACACTGGGGTTTTATCCTTCGGCGCGCACTGCAAAGAGGACGCCCAGAGGGAATAGGTGCACGCCAGCGCGATCACACCGAACTAGTCCGTCTGCAGCCCATGGCAAACCATTTGCTAGTAGATATTTGCAGGTACTTTTTAACTGCGCATCTTCGGCAGCACGCCACGTGTTGGCCATGGGTGCGCTACGCTTGCCAGATGTTGTGGTGTGATCGCGCCCCGAAAATCCTCCCAGCATTCGTGCCTTTCGTGCGGCAAATTCTCCGTGTGACCGGGGCCTGATAAGAACTCACTGTTAACGTTTAATAGCCACCATCCTGAGCGTATCAGAAAAAGATCTACCTTACAGTCAGTTCTTGAGGTGACGAAGGAATTGCTCTGACATTTTAGATTTTATGACAGAATCCTCAATTTCAACTGATAATTTTAAAAAAAGAGAGGCTATCCAAGTCATCTTCTTCAAACAGCATACAAAAAAGCACTCACAAAAAACAGAGGGCAGCTCCTTCAGACCAACAGAAAAGCTGACCCTGACAGATTAGTATGCAGCATTTCATTCTACTCCATAATGGTCAAATTATGTAAAAGTATAAAGCATAGGGAGCTGCGGTGGCTCAAGTGGTTAAGACGCTGAACTGCAGGATGTGGAAGGTCAGTAGTTCAGCAGTTCGAGACCCGAGTTGCCGCATGACGGAGTGAGCTCCCGTCTCTAGTTCCAGCTCCTGCCAACCTACCAGTTCAAAAGCAAGAAATTGCAAGTAGATAAATAGGTACCACTTCGGTGGGAAGGTAACAGCGTTCCGTGCACCTTGGTGTTTAGTCATGCCGGCCACATGACCACGGAAACTTCTTCGAACAGCACTGGCTCTTCGGCTTTGAAACGGAGATGAGCACCGCAACCCTAGAGTCGGACTCGACTGGCCTGTAGTTCAGCGTCTTAACCACTTGAGCCACCGCAGCTCCTTACAACTCTACCTTACAAAAGCTTTATTTTGCCACACAGAGCACAGCACAAACCCTTTCCCTGCCTTTCCTCTCCACATTCAGACTGCCACCCACTTCTCTCCTCCTGCGCACACTTACTGTACTGAAGAGATGTCCCATAATCATCTCTGAGATGGACGATGTGAGGCCAGTCAGCTGGAAAGAACAACCAAAATGAGACGGAGGATCAACACGGGTTCCAAGGAGTTTATTATACAGATACTGCTACCTTGCTTTTCTCCTCAAAAGGAACTTAGAACCTCATTCTTCCCTCCACCTCATAACAACAACATGAGGTACGTTAGGATGAGAGAGAGAAAGAGTAGGGACTGGCCCAAGGTCACCCAGCAAGCTTTCATGGTCGAGTGGGAATTAGAACTTGGGTCTCCCAGATCCTACCTCAGCACCCTTAACTGCGTCACAAAGCTGGCTCACTAGGAATCCCCTGAGTTTCCTAACAGACAGGTAAAGATCCCTGAGACTCTGGTCTTTATTTCCTTATCCAGAACCGAACAGCTGGGCTCACCATGACTCCTTCCCACAACGTTCTTTTAAGTAGCTTGGCCCCAGAATAGTGGTATAATCACAAAGAGGGTGCTGATGTGCAGAAGTAAAGTGACATTTCTTGCATCCTTGAATTAATACAGCCTTTCCCAGATTTTTTTTGGGGGGACAGTCTTCCATTTCTCAAGTACTGCTTTTAGAGAAGTTTTGGTCTCTGCATTTCTTTCAAGAAAGTCACTTCCCCTTCTTCCTGGGAAACAGGTTTTGGTTCCCCCCCCCCAGCAGCTAACCCAATCAGATGTTGCCCCCGCCCTGTTTCTAACCAACCAGACTTTTGGATGAGGTGAGGGGAATGAAGTGTGCCTCCTGGTGTTTTAAAAGCTCAGGCCCAGTATGAAGCCACCGATCCATCTTTAAATGGCAAGCAATGTGTCCGTTTATGCCTACAAATATTGACATGAATTGAGAACGGCTCGAGCAGCTGGGTTGATTTGGAACTGTTAAATGACCCCCCTCCAAGCACAGATTGAACCAGATGGACTTTTTACCCACCCACCCCCAGATGGAAGACACATCAATCATTTCCCTCCTCCTTTCCCCAGTCTCAGTGCAAAGCAATGGTGCGGCGTCTTACAGTGGCATATGTTTGTATATCCACAGGAGCCACAGCCCGTCTTCCTCTCCCACAATTTCAGGGGAGGTGTAACAGACACACCGGCTACCCTGGACACTCCCCCCCCCCACTGCTCCTCCTCACCTTGTGAGCTGCCCAGTCCATCCAGCCCTTGGCATTTGGGTCAATGTTGATCAGGACCAAACCCTCCACGGTGTTGGGATGAGAGAGCTGTGGAGAATCATAACCTTTAGCATGGAAACAGCTCTTCTGTCCGTTTAAATCCCTGCATGCACAACATTTCAAGACAGGTCTATACAGAGCAAGGTGGCAGAGTGATGCATCACACTTCTGAATGTTAAAAAGAAAAAATCTTCCTGAAAAGAGAAGACCAGCACATCAAGGAGGGGGAAGAGTTATATCCCAGCCAAGGTTCCCTCTAAGCTGTGGAGTCTTGTGAGCAAAAATTCTACTTGGTGAGCGACTGGCATTAAAGCTGTGAGCGGGCGATTGGGCTGCTGCAGAAATTAGTTTGCTCTGGAGCCCTCCTTCCTGAGCGAAGACAAAAATGTGTGAGCCGGAGGCTAAAAAACAGTGAGCTAGCTCACACTAACTCAGCTTAGAGGGAACACTGATTTCCCAGCCCTTTTCTTGTTGTGCTGGGTTCTCTATTTCCAGGGAGTTTTGTTTTTTAATGAAGGAGAACATTCAAAAACGTGGTCTCCTCCATGCTGTTGTGGTGCGGTGCATTCCAGTGAACGTGTAAGACCGGATCTCGATAATCCAGAGAACTCCCCTCTAAGGCAGACCAATATTATTTTCACATATTGGAGGCCGGGGGTTTGATACAGAATCAATTTTCCATCCGCAGAACAGAACTCTCCTGTCTCCCCTCTTCCACTGTGGTCCATTGATCTCCACAAAATGGTGCTCTCTGGGTGCAGGGGACCCAGACGGACGGGTGTCTGCAGTGGGAAGGCGATTTGGCAGAAATCGCCAATTTAGTCTGGAGCCAGGCTGAGAAAGCATGGCTTAAAATGGCCGCCTAATGAAAACAGATGTGAAGCGATACACAGGGTAACAATGGTTACCACTCTCCAGGTGAGGGCTACAGATAACTCAAACATACAAATGCTCTTCAGGTAGCAGAGATCAGTCCCTCTGGAGAAAACAGTGGACTCTGTCATTAAACCCTGCTGAGGTCGCCACAGGAAACTGACACTGTTTGCCCAAAGCCAGAGCACTCTCCCAGAGCCTCTTTCTAGATCCCGTTGTATTTATTTCCGCAACGGGCATTATTTCTAGTTTTATATAACAGAGATAGAGGGAAGGAGGCAGGGATAAGGGGGCTGAACTGGGAATTACTTGCCAGAGGGTAGGGCCATAACGGATGGCTAGGTCTGTCCTTGTGTAACAGCACTGAGACAGGAAACTTTGTGTTGGGGCATATTAAAAAAAAAGGACTACAATAAAACTGTCAGTGTCATAAAGTCTTCATTTAGAGTCCAGTGGCACCTTTAAGACCAACAAAGGTTTATTCAAGGTATGAGCTTTCGTGTGCATGTGCACAAAAGCTCATACCTCTTGAATAAACCTTTGTTGGTCTTAAGGGTGCCACTGGACTATAAATTTGTTCTACTGCTTCAGACCGACATGGCTGACCACCTGGATCTATAAAGTCTTCACATAACTCTACAACGACTGCATTTGGACTACTTTGTAGGGTTCCAGTCATCCCTTCTCAAAAAGGAAAAACAAATGCTAGAAAAGATACAGGAAGGACATAAATAGTATGATGCCAAAGCATATCTCCTGCAAAGAACTACAGGTTTGGAGATTCCAAGTTTTTAAAAAGGAATTTCTAGAGGAGGGTTCATGAAATCAGAAGCTCTGCTCACGCTCAAAATAGTAGTACTTGGGGGCTGCCCAGAAAAATTAATAGGCAATAGGTTCAAAAGGGACATAAGAGAGTATTCCTTCACGCAACACAGTTGAGTTTTTGGGGAATTTACTGCTACAGGAGGCTGGGATAACTCTACCCACACCCTTTAGGTGGCTTTAAAAAGGACAATTCATGGACAACAGAGCTATTAGATAGAGCAGGCAGTACATCTCTGAATACCAGCTATTGTGTGTATATCGGCGGGGGGCAGGGATACAGCTGCTGCCTTCAGGTCCTACTTGCTAGTGGGCTTCCAGAGGCACTGGCTGAAACAGGATGCTGGACTAGATAGATCTTTGGTCTGATCCAGGGCTATATTTGGGCAGGAACACACAGGAACGGAGTTCTGGCTGGCTCCTGAGTTGGCCACACCCAGCAGGAACTCATTAGCATAATAGGCCACACCCAACAGCAGGAACTCATTAGGATTGGCTACATTAGGGGTGTGTGGCCTAACATGCAAAGGAGTTCTTGCTACAAAAAAAGCCCTGGGTTTTGACAACAAACAAGGTAAACAGAATAAGAAGGGAAAGGTGGGTGTGGCTGGATGACCACACTTCTGATAACATGGGGGTGTGGCCTAATGTGCTAATGAGTTTTTCCTAAATTCTTACAACCTTCATCTACACTACTGCAGTACTCCTTCTGAAACAGCTCAGGATGGCCATTCGTATGCATCAGAGGGGAAAAGACAATGGCTTGCTTAACTCGGCCAGGTGAGTTCATAGCTCACCTGAGATTTGAACCCAGTCCTGCGTCTCAGTCTTCTAACTCCAACATGACACTAACTCCCCAGTGCCAGTCCCAATTTCCTGCCTCATCTCAGTTCAACAGATACTCCAGTTCCCACTTTGGCAGGGCCCTGCGTTCCTGTGGCCTAGTATGAACTCAAAGGCTGGCCGTCCTCACAAGACAAGGCCTTATTCCCATGAGGTGATCTTACTACATCCATTTGGCATGGCAAACTTTTTTAATATGCCCTTTCTCTCACAGCCAGAGCTGTGGGTCCCCACCCTCCTCTGTCTAGAGTGACTTACGCTGTAGCGGGCCAGAACATAGGCGCCAGCCCCCACTCCGATGCCAATGATGCTGGTGAAGCTGCAGGGGGGAAAGGAGGAAGGCCGAGTTACAAAACATACAGAGATGCAGGAGCTCCCAGACCCCCCTTGAGATTTTCAAATGGTTCTAATGTATATATATTTATCTTGTGCCTCCATAACCCTCTTCTGAAAATATACTTAAACAAAAAAAGATGACCCATAAGCTTACACAGCAGTGATAATAACAGCACATACAAGGAGGAGAGGCTGGCTTTTAATTTTGAGGACTGCAACAAGTCGCAACTTGCCGGCTGCGTCCACAGCTCTAGTGGGTGGGAAGGGACAAGACGGAAGGTAACTGGGCACTGGGGGGCGTTCTTTGAGCTTTAAAAGGGGAAAGGAGTGAAAATACATCCAAGTAGCTTTAAAAAGGGCTGGGAATGAGCAAGGGTCTCCTTGACTAGAACAATGCTCTGAGAGTAGGGTTGCCAGCACCCCTGGGGGTGGGGGACCCCCCCCAGCAGGCAGTGCTTGCTGCCTCTTAGCTGGCCAGTGGGGGGGGGGGAAATGGTGCCAAAATGGTCACGCCCAGAGCAATGTCAGAATGTCGCTGGGGGACACCGGGGATGCTCTAGTATTTGAGTAAAACTCTACTGTTAAATGCCTTAATGCCAGAGTGTCACCTGCTTCGCACTGACATCACTTCCAGTACATGCAGGAAGTGACGCCAGAGTGTTGTTGGTGGGGGCTCCAACCACCCACAAACTCCCCCCCCCCCAGCACACACTGGTTGCTGGAGGGAACTTGGCAACATTATCTGAGAGCACAGTGGAAGTCTAGTGTACGAAAACATGGAACAGGTTAGGATTCCTTCAGCAGGTCAGCAAGAAGCAATAGGTATATCCCACCCGACCGTGACATCTTTATATTGGGAAAGCGGTACCTGTCGAATTCCTTCTAGTCAAGTAGCTGCTAAATACCCTGAACCTCACTCAGGAAAGAGGCACTAACCTTAGCAGGAGTGCAGGAAAAAATTAGACCTCTCCCCGAATTACTTTGTGGGATGTGTGTATTCTGATTTTACCTTCCGGACTGAGCCGCTCCCTTTTGCGATGCTGATGGGAGACCCAAATTGCTCCTTGCCAGATGATGTTCTCCCATCACCCCACCACCACCACTCCCCCCACCACATCATCCCGCCCAGACTCACTTGACATATTGCAGGATGCAGGGGATCATGTCAGCGAGCTGGTCCAGTGAGGGATACTGATACCTAAGCAAAGAAGCAGAAAGCGGGGGCTGTGTTAGACAGCTGGGCAGGGTCCCCATCACACCCAACCATGAGGGTGGGACGGGAGTGGGGGCTGGAAGGCTCACCCCAGAGGAAAGGCCGGGGCGCCCTCCTCCATGCCAGGCGCGTCCACATGGATCACCACGAAGTTCTTTATGATCTCTTGCATGTCCTCAAAGTGGAAGAGGGTGTCGAAGCACGAATGATCTGGGTGGGGACGGGGTTGGGGAGACAGAAGAAGGGGGTGTCAGGCTAGTAAAGGGCAAGAGGCAGCGTGGTCAGACTGGCAAAGGTATAGATATATTTTTTTCAAGGGACAGCCTTATTTGTCAGGAGCTGCAGTGACGGCGGGTGTCAGATTTAGGGTTATTAAGAACCAAAAAGATTATTATTGTCAGATAATATTGTCTAATATTATTATTGCAATAACCGAGTCTATGTGTAAAGTTTATGCTTGACCACTGAAGAAGGCCAGTAGGCCGAAACGCATCTGTTTTAGGGTTGCATAAGGTCCTAATTTTGAAATATTGTATGAATTGTAGTCTTATTGACGCTATGTTTGGGCCTATAATTGTTTTTAATCACCGGGGATGCTCTAGTATTTGAGTAAATGCCTTAATGCCAGAGTGTCACCCGCTTCGCACTGACATCACTTCCAGTGCGTGCAGGAAGTGACACCAGAATGTTGTCGGTGGGGGCTCCAACCACCCACAAACTCCCCCCCCCCAGCACACACTGGTTGCTGGGGGGACCCTGGCAATACTATCTGAGAGCACAGTGGAAGTCTATTGTACGAAAACATGGAACAGGTTAAGATTCCTTCAGCAGGTCAGCAAGAAGCAACAGGTATATCCCACCCGACCGTGACATCTTTATATTGGGAAAGCTGTACCTGTCAAATTCCTCCTAGTCAAGTAGCTGCTAAAGACCCTGAACCTCACTCAGGAAAGAGGCACTACCCTTGGCAGGAGTGCAGGAGACAGTTAGATCCAGGGCTATTTTTGGGCAGGAACGCACAGGAACGGAGTTCCGGCTGGCTCCCGAGTTGGCCATGCCCAGCAGGAACTCATTCGCATAATAGGCCACACCCAACAGCAGAAACTCATTAGGATTGACTACATTAGGGGTGTGTGGCCTAACATGCAAAGGAGGCCCAGACTCACTTGACATATTGCAGGATGCAGGGGATCATGTCAGCGAGCTGGTCCAGTGAGGGATACTGATACCTAAGCAAAGAAGCAGAAAGCGGGGGCTGTGTTAGACAGCTGGGCAGGGTCCCCATCACACCCAACCATGAGGGTGGGACGGGAGTGGGGGCTGGAAGGCTCACCCCAGAGGAAAGGCCGGGGCGCCCTCCTCCATGCCAGGCGCGTCCACATGGATCACCACGAAGTTCTTTATGATCTCTTGCATGTCCTCAAAGTGGAAGAGGGTGTCGAAGCACGAATGATCTGGGTGGGGACGGGGTTGGGGAGACAGAAGAAGGGGGTGTCAGGCTAGTAAAGGGCAAGAGGCAGCGTGGTCAGACTGGCAAAGGTATAGATATATTTTTTTCAAGGGACAGCCTTATTTGTCAGGAGCCGCAGTGATGCGGGTGTCAGATTTAAGGTTATTAAGAACCAAAAAGATTATTATTGTCAGATAATATTGTCTAATATTATTATTGCAATAACCGAGTCTATGTGTAAAGTTTATGCTTGACCACTGAAGAAGGCCAGTAGGCCGAAACGCATCTGTTTTAGGGTTGCATAAGGTCCTAATTTTGAAATATTGTATGAATTGTAGTCTTATTGACGCTATGTTTGGGCCTATAATTGTTTTTAAAAGAATCTGTAATAAATACATGTATTTTTGTATAATTTGCATCATTTATTTATCGATGTTTTATACTTAGGGTTGCCAGGCCCACAGTCGAGGTGGGGGCTCCCCCATTTCGGGGGCTCCAATCTGCCGCCCACCAGCTGGTCAGTGGGGGAAGCCCTACCACAAACAGCCCTCTCATGCGCCGATGTTGTCAGTGCAATGACGTCACATGGAAGTGACGTTATCACACTGGGCACATCATGTGGTGGCACTCTAGCATTTTCCAAAACTCTATGGTAACCATAGAGTTTTGACCAAAATGCTAAGAGTGTTGCCACACAACATGTCTGACATGATGATGTCACTTCCACATGCAGCAATGTCGCCCCAACCTCCCCATTCCTGGTAGGCTCTCTCCCATCCTCTGCTAGCCGGGTAAGTAGACCTGGCAACCCTATTTATACTTATTGAAATTAATATTAACCCCCTTATTTTGTATCCAATTAACCTTTTTGATTCTTAATTCATTTTTTTTGGCTTAGGTTTTTGTTCCCTTCTTTGTTTCTTCTATTGCTTGTCAGATTTAAGGTGCCACTGAAGAGTGGCGAACTGTTAAGTTCTGTATACGAGGCATCTTTCGGTTTTTCTCCCTCAGGTGTCAAAATCTCTCGGGAGTGTTCAGAGTGGCAGGACTTGTAAGGAATGCCAGTGTTAAGGAGAAGGAGACCCTCATCTTGTTAGAATAAGGGGACAGTTGGCCCAGACGAAGGGGCAGGCAAATTCCACAATGGAGTACCATTAACATAAGAAGCACAAAAGCAAATATCATACCCATTTTAAAATTAGAGTTTGACACTGGAACCTGTGAGGCTGAAAATGTCAAGATCTGAATCCATGTTTTTTTGACTTAGGAGCAAGAAGTGGATCTTTCGGGGCACGATCTTTTAAGCAGAGGAACCTACAGCCAAAAAGTAGGTCAGAGTGCAGAAACTATATGCTTGCAAGACTTGAGAGCCATACCCTATGTTAGTTTATTACAGGAAAAAGACAAAAGAGAGTCTATGCACTCGACAGAATTTTTGGTTTGGTTTTTTTACTCTGACCTCAATTTGAGCTTCACACAAAAGATGCAGTTCTCAAAAAATGCAGGATTTGTGATTATTTCTACGAGAGCAAGGGCGGGAAGCAGCCAGACACGCCTCCGAAGTGAATTCAGAACCTCATGCCAGCCAAGAGCCCCAGCCACTTTTGCAGGGGCCATCAAAGGAAGAGGTAGAAGTAGCCAGGTGCCCCCCCCCCCAACCCTCCACCATGTTGACCTGAGAATTCCCACTCAAGGAAGTTTTAATTGACATTTATATTAAACCTGCCTTACAGCAAGTCAAACCACTGGTCCTTCAGGGTCAGTATGCTCTACTCAGACTGACAGCAACTCTCCAGGGTCTCATGCCGAAATTTGTCACATCACCTACTACCTGGTCCTTCTAACTGCAAAAACCTCGACCATCTGCATGGCGACCGACGCTCTGCCACTAAGCCACAGCCCCTGTGGGAGCCAAGCTTTTAGCTGAAAAGTGGGACAACCATCTCACAACATTAAATACTCTGTGAGGTGCAGAAGGGACAACATAACCCCTGGTTGACTCACAGTTGAAACAGTCTTGCAAGGAAGGTTGCTGTAATACCTGCTTTCCACATGGAGAACTGTGAAGCTGGGCTACACTTGTCATCTGCACGGAATTCTAAATGGCGCCCCCACCAGGCCACCAAAATTGTTGGAGAGGATGGAAATCACACATGCAGTGAACAAGCTGCTGGCTGCCTTTCTCCCCTCTACAGCTTATCTTCCAACATCACTCTTCTTTAGAAGTTAAGATTCCCTGCACCTCCCAAGTCCCAGAGAAAAGTAGCCAGATGAGATAAAGGCTGTGGTCACACACACTAAATCCACCTTCGATGCACTTTCCAACTGGATTTTGCCAGTTCACACAGTAAAATCCAGTTGGAAAGTTCACTGAAAGTGGATTGAAAGTGGATTACTTAGTGTGTGTGACCACAGCCAAAGAGTGTCACAGCTACGAAGTGTGGTTCAAGCGTCGGCCAACCAATCGTACCCTCATCCTGCACCCTGAGATTTTACCAGCATTTTACAGTTCTGTGACCGCTACTATAACCTTAAGGAGATTGGTCTTTGTTTTAAATAAAAGCTATGGTTCTTAGAGCGTAGAATGAAAGAGAAAAAGACAGTCAAAAGGGCCTCGTTCTTTTGAAAAATCTGCTTTAGCCTTTCCTGTTTACGGGTAAGGGGATGCATCAGAAATCTTAGCAGACTTAGGGCCACACTAGTTGTTCCAATTTTTTTTGATGAGTTGGCTGTCAGTCAGATGGCAGCTGTGGGGAATGAAGCTCCCAAGCCCTGCAGGGGTGCATGGTATGAAGGGAGACGGGGTCTCGGGCTTGCACCCCCATGCAGATTTATTGACCCAAAACAGTCCTGGGAGGGTAATCTGCCCCACTGGGGGTCGCACCTCCCTTGAAGCCATTTTGAATCAGGAAAGCATTTTGTTTCCCAGCAGCTGCTGTCTGAGGACTTTGAGCGTCAGGTTGGAGGAATCCCAACCCAGTTCATTACAAAATGTGAAGTTTAGGTTGGCCCAGAACTGCCAACACCGTCAGTGTAGTCAAGCTCCGATTGGGCAGACTGTGACTTGCTCACAGTCACTTAAAGAGGAACTCACAATCGAAGTTTCAGTAATCTGACTTGCCAAATTTGGGTTCTTATTTCTCATGAGAAGAGGGTGGGTGGTTTGTTCGTGATGTGCGGGGTAGAGTGCAGGAGAACTTGCATGCACAGCCAGTAACAGACAACGAGAAATTCACGTGTGCATTCAGAACTCCTGGCAGCTCTGAACAAAATGTTCTTGGGGTTGTTTTGGAAAGACAAGATCCTTTGTGGGTTCGGTGACCTGCCTTGGCAAGTTAAGTTCCAAGTTGTCTCTTGGAGCTGCAGGGATGGGGGAAAAAATTCCAGTGCCCCCCACCCCCGCCAAACAAGCTGGTGTTCCAGTCTTACGATTTTGTCCGACATCATGGTAGGTGAAGATGGCCGGGCGTTTGGGCTTGGGCGTCCCATGGATGGTGATTGTGACAATCCCATAGGGTGTCTCCACTTGGTGTTTCTGGGAAGGAAAAGGAGAGGAAACACACATGGGTGAATAAAGGCAGTGCCGGGATTCCAAGTTCCTGCAGGGCGCGTTTGCAAAACAGACCTTTCTAGGGAATGTTAACGGAGCCATACTTCAGTGACATATTTTGCATGAATAAAGGCCCAGGTCCAATCCTTCGCTTTTCCATTTAAGGGACCGTACAGAGCAGGGCCGAGGAAGAAGATCTCCGGGCAGAGAAACAGGCCATGTCAAAACTTGGGGCTCAGCCATATGCTATTTTGCTTTTATGTGTGAGGCTGTATCTATTGGGTGCTTAAAAGCAGAATCAAAACCCTACAAGACCAGCACCGGCCAACTGAAGCACTGCCCACAATATTACAGAATAAGAGCTGAATTCAACACAAAGGAAGGAGCGTCTGCGTCTTACCACTCCCATGGTACACTGGTGGTGGTGGTGGGGAGAGAAACTTGGGTCAATATTCAAAACAATCGCATTCTGTTTGGACTTTAAAAAAAAATAGAAGCTCATTGTTTATTCTCCCAGCCCTTCCTGCTAAGGCCCTTCTTGTATGGCACACGAGGGATTTCAATGTGTTCACAAGCAAGTGGAGGGACAGGGAAGGGCTGAGCAATTTGGCACCTGCTGATATTCAAATCCCAGAGCCTCAATGACACAGGTATGAAAAGGGAGAAGGTGGGGGGGGGGGTCAAAGAGACAGTGCAGAAGACAGGTAGTAATGCTAAGAGGCAAAGAGTCTGGACTTGTGACCCCCAAGCCGGGTTGTCGTGGCCCAGCAGAGGGACAAGCGACTCGCAGAAGCCCACACCACTTATAACCCATCAACCTGAATGAACAGGTGGTAAGGCTGGGAAGTCCAGGCCTCCCGGATATTCTCTCTCTAGCTCTGGGGTGGAATCTGAACCTAGCCAGCCGAGTGATGGACCTACTGGTAGAGATTTCCGTCCCACTGGCCGGCCTCGGGCAAGACTGGTTTCTTGCAGCCTCAGTTCCTTATCCATAAAATGGACAAAGGAGCAATTAACCCGCATCATCTGCTGCATCATCTAACTTCATCAGAACCCTATAATTAAAATGTTCCTGTTCTACAGATTGGGAAAGGGAAACCGCTGTGCTGTGCCTAAGAGTAGTCAATGAGGTCATACTCAAGCAGCGACGGGGCTGGCCCCATTAGCTGCGCGATGAGCAGAAATCCAACAGGTTCCTCCAGTATGGAGGTGCAACGGGGTTGCAGTGGGCCAGGAGAAAAAGCAGCCTCTCCTACTCACATGCCTTTGAGCGCAGCTGCAGAAACCAGCTGCCGAACCCTTTCGCAGCATGACGCTAAGCCACCGTTCCTTTGCTAATGTTTTGGGTCAAAGTGCTTTTTAAAAACCCAGGAGCAAGGATGTGCAAAGATTTGGGAGCCCTAAGGTGCGATGGCAAGGGAAGCTGTAGCTGTTGAAATGCCGCATATTGCACAGCTATGTAAAGCCCCAGAGCGTGGGAGGAGAAGGTAGCAGCTCTCATTCAAACCCAGATCTGGTTTCCGCATGTCCACCTCGCTATCCGAGGGAGAAACTGGCAGATGGCAAATTAGAATAGCGATTAGACTGTTAGAACTGGGAGAGGACAAGCTACAAAATCGAAGCCAGCAAACAAGGGAACAGGCTGGGCTGGGAGCCAGAATTCCTGGGCGGGTTGCCACATTTTTCCTGGCAGGGCTTCTGTGCCTTGAACAATTGCACAATGGGCAGACACTCAACCGATGCAACTCTTCCCAGGAGGGCAATGGGAGAAGCTGCATTGGTTGAATTTCTGCCTCTCAGATGGGTTGTCAGAGGCACAGGGATCCCACCAGAAGGGAGGAAAATATAGGTGACAGCTCTAGAGGCAACCCACACATACCCTTGAGGCCTCAAATAGCTCCCGGGAAACTCAGAAGTCATCGCACCCGGCTCTGCTTACGCTGACTCACTAAACCTCACCCACAGCATGGGAGAGAATCCAGGATTTATCCTGGGGTTGCCATCTTTTCCCCTGACAGAGGTGCTGCGCCTCCTCAGTAGCTTGACCGAGAGGGGTGGCTTTTCCCATCCCTATAGCTCCAGACTAGGGAAAGCTGCACACACACGATTTCTGCCTGAGGCATAAAGTAACACTCCGATTTCTGCCATCATTCTACATCTGGCGATTACAGATGTGGAAGCCTGGGTGGAGAGCAGAGAGACAGGGGAGCACTGAGAGCCAATGGGTCGTTTTCTGTCGTGGCTTTTCTGGTGGGCAGGTGGGGGTGATTTCTGCAAGCTTGGGGAGTTAGCACCAGTTCTGTTCCTCGTGAAAAACTTGGAAGGGAGGGGGGGGGAGAATTACCTGGCCATGCTCCTGCAGCAGTTTGGCTGTTATCAGTTCAGCATCCTAGAACACAGAGAAAGAAAAGGGGGAGGGAAAGACAGGCAGAAAGTGCAAGAAGGTGGGAGGTAAGTGAGGAAAGAAGTATCAGGGTCAGAGAGGTGGGGAGGGGGGGCTGGAGCAGGGTAAGCTGCAGTCCCTCCCCCGTGCTGAGATCCTTAAAACCTGGGATGGGGGGTGAGCAGATCCAGAGCAGGGCAGATTGACCAGAAGGGCTAAGGACACGTTTGAACCGCAGCCTAATTATCGAAGGGGTCATCTGCTCTGTTCCAAGCTTATGGGTCACTCAATGGGGGAGCACAGAGGATACTTTTGGGACAAGCAAACCCCCCCCCCCATACATTTAATGCAGGAAGCTAACCATTTAGACTTACGGCCTACTAACAGCAGCAAACGGAGTCTGGATCCATCCCAATAATGGACAGGGAAACGTTTAATTCTGCTAATTCTGCCTTCCTGTTTTTTTTTGAAGACCCCCAATTTGCCCCTCGTGCTATTCCTGAGGGCCCCGTCCCCCAAAAGCAGTAAACTAGGGAGATCAATAGGCTGCAGGGGAAAGTGGAAAGTTCCATTCTGTTGATGGAACTGCCTTTTGTTAGCAGAAAATTTAGTCCGGATCCAACACCCCGGTCCCTGTGGGTTGCACTGGTGGATAAGGACACCTGAACTGTGCCAACGTTTTTTGCCAGATTCCCTAGGACATCCTGGGAACAGCTAATGACATGCACCTCTCCGCTCAGGTGATGCTCCAAGATCAGAGGTGCACATCTGGATCTTCTTGTTGGAAACTGAGCAGGGCCTCATTAAAAAAAGGCGCTAACTTCCCTGCAACATCCTTCACAGTGGCTGACCTGACATTGTGTGTAACATTGCTGGTTTGTTTCTCTGACAGGGCACCTGAGCCTTTAACAGCTGTGTGACAAACAAGCTGAAACTGAAACTTCCTGCATTGCTACACCGGATGTTAAAATCCCAGGAGCCCAGATAGGAAAAAAAATTCTAACAGCCTGCCCAACTGCTGGTGGCATACAAAGCGATGAGACTGACATCTAAATGCAGCCCGTAGTTTATTAATAGAGACATCACAAGACCCCTTCAGCCAAGTCATTGTATAATATAATTTTACTCCATTTATTTATCTAATACAATTCCACTCGACCTTTTGACCAAACTGATCCATTTACTATCACAATAGCAGTGCAATCCTAAGCAGGTCTACTCAGGTCTATTCAGCTGGGCTTACTCTCAGGAAAATGTTCTTAGGGATTATACTCTGAAGTAATCACGTCACATTTAATTAAAAATGTCTATTGTTTTTCGCATGATAAAGAAACATAAAAAAGGTTGGATCTGTCCAGGTTTTCTGCTGGTAATAAAGTGAAACAGGGTCCCTTTGACCACCCAAAAAACTACTCTGAGGTTCATGAGACTTGCGTGGACCAAAGCTATGTGGGTCGGAGGGGAATAACTGAGCAAGATGGAATGGAAATGCTGGCTAGACCCAACCCAATCAAATCTGATCTGTCCACTGCCTTGGTAAACAGCATGGTTATTGAAGAAGAAGAGATTGGATTTATACCCCACCCTTCACTACCCAAAGGTGTCTTCTCGCAGCTTACAACAAACTCCTTTCTTCCCCTCCCCACAACAGACACCCTGTGAGGTAAGTGGGGCTCAGAGAGCTCTTGACAGAAACTGCTCTTTTTC